TAGTTAACAAGCTAAATATTTAAGTTGTGACTTAAATATTTAGTTTTGAGCTAAATATTTAGCTTGAAACTTAAATATTTAGGTTGCAACTTAGATATTTATCTAGCAAGTTAAACATCTAGCTAGCCACCTAAATATCTAACTTAAATATTTAGCTAGCTACCTAAATATTTAGGATGCAACTTAAATATTTAGGGTTAGGGGCTAAATATTTACGTTAAATATTTAGGTGGCTAGCTAAATATTTAAGTTGCAACCTAAATATTTAGGTAGCTAGCTAAATATTTAAGTCACAAGTTAAATATTTAATTTGTAAGTAAAATATTTAGTTTATAAACTGACATTTATAAATGTATGAATCGTATGGTGAAAAACTGACTATGAAAAATAAATCTGTTCTTTTCATCTTTTAAAAGGCTAAATAAAACAAAAATATTGGTGGTAATGTTTGTGTAACTTTACAAACGGCACCCCATAGAGAGGCACTCCTTTTTTTATTGTTGCATATTTTTCATTTTGTTCAAATATTCTGCAAAAAAAAGGCAATACACATGTAAATATTTGCTTAGGATGAAAATAATGTGGCATGAAACAATAATGTTTATACAGCTGTTGTCAAACATTTTTACTGTTCTATGTCATATGAGTCATTAATAAAACCTCACAGGATTCACATTATTGTAACATACAATCCAGCCATTCAGGTGTCATCGTTTCATCAGCTGAAGCTTATATCATTCCTCAGGGGTCTATTTGGTTTTCTATTGAGCTCATGGCTGCCAGCACTCAGAATAAACCAGGTACTCAGGGTTCTGCCATCAATTTAACCTAGAAAACAGAATTTCTTGCACCTGATGCAGGTATAAAAAATAGACAATATGAGGTGTTTTGTGACACTTGGAGCTGAATGATTGCAGATATTGATAGTGAAAGGCTCTGCCGCCACAAATGGCTTTAGACAACCTATGACTCATTCTTTATTCCTGGGTGTTGACTCTTTTAGCTGTGCATTATGAATCCACACAGAAAAATGCCCGCTGCATCAGATAACTGACTAAAAGCTTTCATTTGTCATTTATGTTTATTTCTATAAGCAAAGATGACTGATGCTCAAAATATGACACAAAAAAAGTGGATTTTTGTTTTGTTCTTACCTGTGCGTCGCAGTTACAACAAAGTAACAAGTTTAACATCCACATAAGAAAGTTCATAGTTCGTGTGTTTGATTTTATTCCGCAAGGAGTCACAAAAATCACGGGAACAAAGATAAAAGTAATAAAGTTGCGCGCTCGGATGAATCCTCTGCGGCGCATCCTTGGATCAAATCCTCACAATTTCAGTAAAGTTTCGCGTCAAGTTGCCATCAAAGAAAAAAAAAACACAATCCAACAGACGCTTCCTCCCTGAAAGCTCTCATTCAGTAGCGTTCATCGCTGCCTGTGTAGAGGGAGACAGCATGGACCGGGTCTGGTCGTGTTGCAGGAGCCGGCGGAGGTGTTTGGAGCGGAGGCAGCGGCCGAGCGGCGCGCGGCGGCGCCTCCACGAGCCGCCGGCAGCGGGCTCCTCCTCATCCTGACGAAGGCTGCCTCCGTCCACAGAGGACACCGCGTCCGGACCGACTGAAGCTGCTGCACACCGTGGGGTCTGTGCGTGGCACGAGACTCTCCTGCTCCTCCCCCTCCTGCACGCACGCGCTCAGTTCACGCGCAGCAGCTTCTTTTATAAACTTTGCTCTTATTTCCAACTGCTTAAAGGCTGAGACTTGTTTCATGATGTCACACTTTAAAGGGACATTTCAGAGAATTCAAAACAGGTCCCAGGCGAAAAACATATATACTAAAGGTATATTTTTATATAGACAGCATTTTACAGAAATATATTTTCATTATATTATCAATACTTTTAAGGATTGTATTGAAAATGTAAAAAAAAGTACATTTCAAAAACCAGTTATTTTAAATTATATTTCAAGTACACTTAATAAAAATATATTTTTATTAAACACCATCCATCCATCCATTTTCTGTACACGCTTCT